ACGCCGTAAATGCAGGTAAATCAATGGTGATGGTACTCGGTGCATGTCTCGTGAGATGCGCCCTTCCTATACATGATGAATGTTCTTCATAGGCTTATCGTTTCCATCATAAGCATGTTGAAGATTGCTTCGGTTCGGCCCTAGTTTGCGACCGTCCGTATATAAGTTACACTTTATCGGTTGATACCAATAAGGTTGAGGAACTCATTGCGCGTCTTGGACTTCTTCTCGAAGCAGCCAAGGACACAGCTCGTGATGGTGCTGGTGGTGGTCTTTTCGACACCGCGCATCACCATGCACAGGTGGCTCGACTCCATGACCACGGCGACGCCCTGGGGCTTGAGGATCTCCATGATGGCGTGGGCGACTTCCTTGGTGAGGCGTTCTTGGATCTGCAGACGGCGGGCGAACATCTCTGCGATTCGGGGGAGCTTGGATAGGCCGATGACGGTCTCGTTGGGGATGTAGCCGATGTGCATCTGCGGGGGGAAAAGGAAAAAGTCAGCTGTTTGTTTGGATTCTCGTGCGATTTCGGAGGAGGAGTGCAAACCTTGCCGGTGAATGGTACGAGGTGATGCTCGCACAAAGACTGGGAATTGTTAGCTACATTTCTGCAATTGAGTGAAGAAAAGAACTTACAAAGATCTCAATGTCCTTCACAATGACCATTTCGCTGTGTCCCTCCCTGAAAAGAGCCTCGTTGACCATGGTTTCAATGTTGTCCTGGTATCCCTTGGTCAAGAAGAGCAGGGCCTTTGCATAGCGCTCTGGAGTTTTGAGAAGACCCTCGCGATCGGGATCTTCCCCGACACACTCAAGAATAGTGCGCACAGCGCCGCTCATACGTTCCAATCGCGCCGCCTGCTGCTCCTCCGTCTCCTCTCTGCGCTCTCTCGTTCCACGACCTAAACCCGTCAGTAAGCGCAAGCACCACCGGTAAGAGTAAAAACATACTGGGTCGACTGAGCCCATCGAAGTCAATGACAGGACTAGGAGACCTAATCGTCACGACGGCGCCCTCTTCTTCAGGGACGCTCTCGGGTGCTGCAGAGCGGCGCTTTCTGGGGAGAGGTTCATCGCGGGGATCTCGCGAAGCTTTGGCCAAGCTGTTGCGACGCTGGGCGAAGGCACTGGGCTTTGCGCCATTGACAGCGACAGCGTTGCCGTTCTTCCTCTTCTTCTCCTTGCGCTCGCGACGGCGCCTGCGGGAGTCGTCGCTGCTGGACGAGGAGCCTGAGATGCTTGCGACGTCGTGGGATCTCTTCTTTCCGTCTTCGGAGGTAGGCATGGTGGCGATGTGAACTGGGAAGAAGAGTAGTAAAAGGGAATTTAGAGAGAGAGGAAGGATAAGATGAGAAAGAGGGGGAATAAGTACTAGGCACTAATTCTTTATGAGTCAAGAGAACAAACAGGCGATAATTGACGACAGGACTCAAAAAGCCTAGAAAGCCAAACAGTACGGAAACCGAATTGATTGAGTCAGGGTCCAAATGTCTCTCTCACGCCAAATGTAAGCCAATGACCGGATCCAAACGCCGAAAAATCTAGAGGGGCTCCACGGGATTCGCGGGGAATGGGCTTCTGCTGCAATTATTTTCCACTATCTTATCAGTGTCTAGCACGAGCTGTTTTGACGTCAACGGCCTAGCACCTCATTTTGTCTCGTCTCAGTTGGTACCTAACTACCTACAATTGGATGGGAAGCAGAAACGGTCGTTGGCGCCGTGGGTCCGATCATGTGGGTCCGCACGTGACTGGACATCACGTCCGTTCGTTCGGAATAGCAAGACGCGTTTGTGCCTGATGCACCGGATCATCCTCCGAAAGCCGTGACGACGAGAAGACGCCATCTTGCGAACGACTTTGCGAAAAACGCCGATATCGAAAAATACGTATCTTTCTGGAGGAACGCCTTCTCGGAATACCTCGCTTGGCTGCATCGCATTGCTTAGTCACAGCGCCTTTCATTTCGAGCCTCCTTTTCACCACCAACCCGTCACATCACGATGGCTTCGCCGCCCTACGCAACCTCTCCATCGGGAATGTCCCCGCCCTACCCTTCACCCGCCCAGATCCCCAACAAGAAGCGCCCATCAACCCTCGACGGCTCCGCGCCTCCCCTCAAGCGCCGCAAACCCTCCCAAACTTCCGTCTCAACCAGCTCCGCCGCTCACCCTCTCCGCCAAACATCCTTCCCTCCCGAAGCAGGATCTCCATTCCCGCGGTCTCCCTCCGTTGACGCTCAATCGCATGTGAGCGGCAGTGCAGTCAGCACAACAGCCAGCGGAGCACCGAAGAAGAAACGCGGCCGTAAGGCGAAGAACGCCAAGCCAGATGATGCTCGTGAACAGACGCCCAGTCTTGTTGGAGGACGGGCACCTACTGCTGTGAGCGGACAGGGTGGGGAGAAGGAGGATGACGATGAAGATGATGAGAAGGCTGAGATGGCGCTTGAGGATGTCGTTGCGAGAACGCAGGAGCAGAAGCAAGAGGAGATTCGACTGAGAGCTATGCTTGTTGAGGCTTTTGATTCTCAGCAGTATAACCGATATGAGCTGTGGCGTGCAGCTAAATTGGCTGATAGTGTCGTCAAACGAGTATGTTATCTTTACGCAGAGTCAAGTCTTGATACTGACATTTACAGGTCGTCAACGCTACGGTCTCTCAATCGGTTCCGCAAAACGTTAGCACAGCTGTCAAAGCCGTCGCCAAGCTCTTCGCTGGAGAGATCATCGAAGCCGCTCGCAATGTACAGGGAGAATGGATCCACGCTGGAGAGAAGCAAAGCGAACTACCTACACCTCCCCCATCAACAAACGACGACCCTACCGCAGCAGAAGAAGAGATTGACCTCAAGCGCGGTCCCCTCCGGCCTGACCATCTACGCGAGGCCTGGCGCCGCTACAGACTATCTGGAGAGAGCCGTGGTGTAGGCGTGCAGCAACTCTGGCATGCCCAGCAGGGCGATGGAGTTGAGCGCTTTTCGACCCGTACAGGAAAGCGGCTTTTCAAGTAAGCTATGACGAATAACAGGCGGCTACGATAAGGATGAAGGAGGGAGAATGCGGTGCAAGGAAAAGAGCGAGCCACGATGAGTGGAAAGGAGATTGCACAGGATGATCGCCAAGACATGGACCAGATCAGTGACATGGACCTGACTTGGCAGATATGGACGGACATGGGATGGATTCTTTCAAGCGTAATAATGATACCCCCAAAAATCCTGAAACGAAACAGGAAATAGAACTTTGTACAATACTACCCAAATCAAGAACGTGAACGAGTATATGCCAAGAAACGTCGTTTATCGGAAATAACAATGACCCGAATGAATACTCACATCACAGACAAGTACCTTGTAACTCGTAAAAGACCGAAATTTGCTCATATTGATCCAGTGGGCTGATCATTGATGTATTTCCACGTGGTTGATCGGGACTTGCGCAAATCACATACGAAACAAGTAAAGCTTTGCACGGCACAACTTATCCAGATTGACAAACCTTGAGTACGAAGTCACGAATGACATTCAAGCGTTCCTGTACCTTTTAGACCTTCGTATACTAGCCGCTCTAAACCCGGCAAATAAGGACTGCCGGCTGAGTCTGGGAGTGTGGGGAGCTAGCTAGCAAGCAGAAAAGGGATGTTGGCTGTAAGACGGAGCTCGATTTAGCGCACGCCATTCAGTCAGAGAGTGCCGGGGTGGTTGCTGTTGATAGGGAGCAATTTCCGTGGAGTGGAATCATCTTGGATCGCTGATAATACAACGCTCGTACTTGGCCGGCGGTAATATCTATCTCATGAGACTTGCCAAGCGGGACCGCGGGGCATATGGGAAAGTCGGCACGTACACAGCCACTTTGTGCAAGTTGTAGCTGTTGAACAGTCTTGATCGATTGGAGCCAAGTCTTGGCTGCTGAGGTCTCGACTCTTGACCTTGACACTCTGACAGTGGGCTCCGCTTGCCTTGTCTATCAAGTGCGGAAACTCCTACGGGGTTTTTGTAGGAGATACCTTGGAAGCTTGGTCAGGCTGATCATTGATGGATAATGTTACATATTCAGCCTCGGTTCAGCATGGCCAAGAACACCATGTCATCGTTTGGTCAGCTCGTAAAACCAACAGATATTGTCCCGACGAAGGGGAATCCTTCAGTGACAGCTCCAACGCCCAAGGAGTTCAGACCTGGTCTTGGCAAACCTTGCAGGGCCTAGACTCATCAATCGACATTCTGTCCCTGAGCTCACCGACCCTGCAACAGCGGTCTCTCCTCCAAGGAGATTGGTCTCAAGCTTGCCCTTCATCACCTTAAATCGTCAACATCGCAGCTTAATCGGCTATGAGGAGCCGAGAGGCTGGCTTGGCGGTCGGCTGGACCGAAAGACCGTGGCGCAGCAGCTGCGAGCCCAGCAATGCGTTGAAAATTATGGGGCGCCTAGTCCTCTGGGCATCCCGCAATCAGAGACAGAGCTCCCTGTAGCTCCCTGTAACACTCGGGTCCTATTCAGTCAAGGGAGGTTAGGGCGGAAAACTCGACGAGTGTATCCACCAGCTTCTGCCTGTAAGCAACGTTTCACAAGCAGCTTGTGATATGTGTCCTGCGTGATCTTGTCGGGTCGCTGTGAAATGCTGTAATTATTGTAGAGCTCCAAGGAACGCTGGGTGTGTTAAGCTTTGGAGCTCTTCTCGAAAAGAGACCAATAAAGTCAACAGGTCAGATTGAGCAATGCAACGCACGAAGTCGTGATAGGGTTGCCATGGTTCAATATGTTTAAATATGACTGGCGCTAGCGTTCCTTGACATCGGCTGGATCTGCACCGTCAGGACATGGATCTTTCGCCAAGAAGTCAGTGCTTGGCCATCAACGCGCGTCCTGCTTGGCGAGTCAAACGGTACCTACATCAACAAGAGCTCAAGCCTCATATGGGCTGGCTTTCGCCGCTATCATTGACGTAGCTTAGACTTTGGATCGACATCCAGATGAACCGTATTTGCCAATATGACAGGAGGAAAGGTGAGTTCTGATCCTCATCTTGCTGGCCTTCGTCGCCAGCCGGGTTCGTCCTGTTTTGCAGTGAGTGTACTTTGTCTGACACATTCCCCTGCAGAAGGAGGGCTCAGCAAACCCATCAGCTGTCCGGATCCGTGACAACCAACGACGGTCCCGTGCACGACACAAGGAGTATGTCGAAGGTCTGCAGAAGAAACTTCAAGACTATGAGCGCCGAGGCGTTGAAGCGACGTTGGAGATGCAACAAGCAGCTCGCAGTGTTGCTGTCGAAAACTCACGCCTAAAAATCCTGCTGGGGTACCACGGCATCACTAATGAGGACGTTGAAAAGTTCTTGCAGAGCTTTCCCGACCAACCCGCTTCAGAAGCCGCAAAGGCAACGATTTCACAGTCGACCTCTGGTCAGCCACTTCTCGCTGCAACACCCAAGATTCCTCTTCAGCCTCTGTCAAGAGGACACTCAGCAGAACCTCCGAGGTCAACGTTACTGCCTCCCCATATCGCACCAGAGAAGACGAGTACTCGAGATGTGGTGGACGCCGTCGTAGGGATCAAGAGAGACGCTCGTAAAGCTGGTCTTCCCAGTGGACCAACACTCCCTTTACCAGTGGAGCAGCGGCAGCCGCTGTTGCAACCTCGACCTCAACCGCACATTCTGCCAGCGTTGCCAGCGTTGCCAGCTCTTGTCCTCGGTCAGGGTAGGCCAGACCCCAATCCCCTCGATAAACTCTCAGTTCTTGCGACAGCGAGCGTACATCAAGAACCTGACAAGAACAAGCACCACCGCACGCATTCAAATGCCGATAGCCTTCGTGTACCGAGCCCGTCAATACTAGGACAGAGTTCCCCAGCGTCGTCACGTACAACCCCTAGTCGAACTTATTCGACATCTCCGTGAAGCCAGAAGAACGGATACAGCTGGAATACGGCACAACAAGTATCCATACCAACGTACATATTTGACAGCACAGTCCATCAAGGGAATATGGTTGAGGAGTCCGGCAGCGAATTCGTAAAAAGAGATACCAAGAAGCGGAAGGAGAACGGAGTTTTTGAAGGCGTTGAGCTCACTGAACGACACCATAAAAGGTAGCCTTGCCTTTGTCTCGTTGTACGCGTGGCCAGGCACTACCCGACACAAGCACAGGCTAACGAACGTCTCGACACCAGCCTCAATGTCCAGGGGGGATGGCCCAGGTTGATATCAATGGTGCTCAATCCAGGATCAGAACCGAAAACAGAAGGGATGGAAGCAATGCTGCCATCGAGCAGACGTTGGCAACGAATACTCGCATTGGAAGAGTTTCGATACATGATTAACGATACAAGTCGCTGGCGAGATACGACAGATACCGAGTTTTGGAGTTGGGACAGATTAGAATTGGCTTCAGGTCGCCGTTGTCGAGAAAAGCGATATCGAGGGTATCGACCAAATCCGGGGGAGGCTGTGCATCTTGGCGATTGAAGTTGAAATCTTGCCTGGCATGGCAAACTCTGGGCGTGAGATGGTCGGGTATAAGTAGGGCTGTCTCTAGTCGCTCAGATGGGAGGCCGCCAGGTGGAGATATAAGCTTGCAAGGACAAAAGACTCCAAGAAGGCGGGGAACATGTTTTAACCGCGCGAGTTGGAGGGCGTATCTCGAAGGTCGTTGGAGGAAGGATTCTCAACATCTTGATGTGTTGAGACGAACACGAGACAGAAGCAACAATTAGCCACACGAATAAACGTCAGACTGACAGCACCTTCTTGCTTCAAGTGTAGACCTCATAACCGTAAACGGCTTGTTTAGAGGAGGCAACAAAACCCAGAAATTTGATGAGAGTCGGGTGAGATATCATAAATTTGAGTGTCCAATTGAGGAGTTTTTTCCCCAATCAAGAGATGCCATAATGAACTCCTCAAGAGTTCCCTTGTTTATGATATCTTACCTGAGACTTGCATCGCAGGAGAAACCACTTTCAGTGAAGTTCTCTTGTCAACCACTGATATTGGAGACCTCCCAGGCCGAGAGAACCGGGATCCAGTTGTTGATCCACACCGGCGTCATATTGACCCATAGAACTGCAAGGTTTGGAAATGAGATTAGATAAGAAAGGCTTGGTAATCTCTCGGCCGAGTGGGATATGGTAGATTTTGCTGTGGTTTGCTGTCTTTGGCCGTTGGTGGTTGCTGGGTGGGTGTGAGATGTCCGCGGAATTGTCGAGGTTGGCAGGGGCGAGGCTGCAGGTGAACTAAAGGGGGTGTTGCCTGGTGCGTTCTGTGCTGAGGTGAAGGCTTGGCAAGAATCGGTGTAGCAGATCAAAGGTGAAGAAGGCCAGAGAAAAGAACGAGGATGAGGAAGAATGAGTTCCTTGAAGAAGAGAGGTCGAGCAGAAAGCGCAGTCAAGCAGGAAAAGGGCATCCAGAAGAACGGGAAGTGGGCACGCGACCATGTTCCTGCCACGATGGGGGCCAACCTGGAAATCCCGAATGACAGAGTCTGTCTTGAACAAACAAGAGATACCTTTAAAATGAAAATAGAGGAATACAATTGAAGAAGAAGGGAGCCAGATAGAAAAGTCGGTGATGTGTGGTCTTGAACGAGCCGCGCTTGCAAGCATCAAATTCATGACGTCGTGGGAGCATACCAATCGGTACACGCCAGTGACAGTCACCGTAGCTTCAGGCCCTGCCAGGGACAGGAAAGTGGGTGCTAACCCCTGTAAGCCACCGTATCGATCGTCATCGCATGCGTTGACAAGGGGGTCAAGACTCCGTGGGTGAGATTTTGGTGCATGATTGGTGGACTCGCTAGGGGACTCGCTTGGTTCAAATAAGCTTAATTGTCTCAAGGTGTGGCTTCGGGTTGTCTTCCGGGCAAGGTTGAGAGGTCCTTGGCCTTGTTTCGTTGTGAAGGGTTGGAGAAGAAGAGGGCTCTGTGCAGTTGTTGCATTGTTCAGGTGGGTTGAAGGGAGAGGTTTGTTCGTGTAAGTCGAGGTCCAACAACAGTACAGGCACTCGCCCGACTGTTCATCGGTACTGTAACAGCCATAGAACTATATCGAGGGACACAAAGTTCAAAAGACCAACGAACCAAAAGCCTTCGAAATCTCACTCGCAACGATTTCGCGGGAGGGTTCCAAGTTTAAATGTTGCCGAGGGCTAAGATGGCCGCGCGGCCTCGCCAACAAGTTGGTTCCATAATTGGTGGTGGCAGTGCATCCAGCCTCTAATCCCATTCTAATTCAACGTCGCTCATCCGCGGAAGCATTACTTGTAGTAGAAAGGGCTTGAAAAAAGTAACGAGATATGGTTTAAAGAAGAGCCACGCCGATCGCTCGGCTGTGCTTGGTGGCGGCATAGCTGTGGTTGAGGTGATTTGAGATTTGAGGCTATTGCCGACTCCAAGCAACACCCAACAAAGCGACCAAAGTGAGTGCAGACGAACAAAAAGACTGTAAACTTTTGTTCAATTCCCCATGGCTCTTGGCCTTGCTTGATCGGGAGCAGTGTAATCGTCATCTCGTAGCAAGTTCTTTCCTTCCATCGAGGCAGCCTTCCTCACCAGGGTAGGTCAGGTACCTTGGCTTTCCAACACTGACCTCATAAGAAGACTTCCCACAAACATCATCATTCTTCAATCCATCCATCCATCCATCTATCTTACACCAGGACGCATCCATAAATCATCCCAATAATATCCTATCAAGACACATCTATTTTCAACCGTCTTATGACAATATGAGCTTCTTTTGGCTGCTTGACGAAGTTATCACATGGGTCATTGACGACAACCCAAACGAACGCCTGACCTTTGGTCATATCGAAGGGCCTCTAGCTTCAGCCAAGGCAATCCAACTCCCAAAGAAAATCCTTGAATCGCCTCGAATTATTGATCACCGCCGTACCATTATTGTCCAGGTTCTTCCCGACTTCAAGAGGGATGCAGTGGTCACAGGTCAAGGGTCTTGGTCACCGAACCTTCAACTCAAGAAAGGCCAACATCAACCTACGCTGACGGTTGAGACATACCGCGAGTATGTAAATTATCTCGGGATTGGCTACCAGGAAAGAAAATAGGAGAAAATGCCCGACGAAAGTTCAGACCGAATAATCTTTCTCCTCGAGGCCGACCCTGACTATTCGGCAGACTATGCCCTAGCATTGGCTACCATCACGACATTCGCCCGACAGAAAACAAATGTCCAACGTTCCTTGCATATAAAGGTAGCAACTGTATCTTGGGAAAGCATCCATCCAGTCACTAGACAGCTATTCCACAAATATGTTGGCCTCTACGGGACCATTTCCGAATTCTTGGTTACAAGATATGAACCCCACCCAGCACAGCCTGTGATTCTCAAAGACGTACCATCAGATCTGCTTCGGTATGGCACAGTGTCTAACGACTCTGGGAGTCTATGCCTACGTTTTCGAGATGCGATGCATGATGCCGAGGACCAGGATGAAGGCAACATCGTGCCATCACAATGGGATCCTTGGATGACAACATCCACCACAAAAGCGCACTATCCTTCTATTCCAGCACAGTTGAAACAGCCCGGAGCCCAACTACAGATGATTCATATGGATGCAAACTCGAGAATAGCTGAACTCTTGCCTTCCTGCTACAGTGTCAGCATTTTTGCGAGTCCTACGATTAGTCGAGTCATCTTCGATCGCCGCTCTCATCAATTATTACACACGTTTCTGTGGATCTCAGAGTCGGAAGAAATTCAGCAGCTGTCTTGGCGTTTACGGGTTCAGAGTTATCATCCTCCTGATGTTCTGTGCCTCGATCACTTCCTCAAGCATCGCGCGACAGAGCGTCGAATGAAAATCCGAAATGAACAAGCCGAAGGGTTCATGGCTGCCCTCCTAGATTATACCGAATGGCCCCCTAGCGTTTGGGACTTGATAAACATCGTTCGAAAGAGAGATGATGTTTTCAATCATATACGGGATCGCTTTCTCTTCCAAGGACTTACGATAAGTAGGGGAAATACACCTCGATTACCAAATGCATCATTCAGCGCTGATGCATTCTATCCTCTTTTGTCGCTGGTCGATTACGACTCGCGTGTCGCCCATTTCCTCACCCTGAATACAACCCCTTTGGTCACCATGATAAAAGTACACCTTGCCCCGATGTTAACCGCGGCAAATGAAGCTCTGGAAATACTCCATGTCCAGAGACTTGACTTGAAAATCAAGACCGCAATACAAGGATGTTTGAACCAATGCTCTCTGGAAAACGACGCCGGCCCCTGGGTACATCGCAGCACTCTGTGGGCAACCGCAGGCTTAGCGGGCATGATTGATGCCGATGAAACCGACGAACCGTGCCCTCGTGTCACTACCCCTTTGGCTGAGGGTAACATTCGGGTTCTCACAGCTGCATCCTCACGGTTTTCGGCATTCGGTCGGGCCATCCATAGAAGCTTACGCGTGAACGAAATGGAAGTACAGGAATTAGACACCATTCGGGCATATGCGAATGAAGAAAACTACAACCAGGTATCGCGTCACCTGCTGCAGGCGTATTCACACCAAGTGGCCTTTGCAACCAAAACGAAAAGGAAATTGGGAGGGAAGGAGTTGCCCAGGCTGTACGACTTTATGACCAAGAAATCTTTCCAACCCAACCTGAATCTAGCGGTGATTGATTGGGACTACCTTTTCAGCCAAGAAAAGAGGGTATATGGTGTTTATACGCATCTGAAGCGCTTGGGAAATGGGGGAACCACTGTTTGCAACTGGACTTGGATTCCTGGTGGAGTATGGGCCGAAGTCGAAGGAGAAATGGAAAGGGTTCGGGCGATGAAGGGAGGTAGGGATGCGAAGAATAGCGATGAGTTTTGGGAAACTAAATTTTGAACCTCTAGGCTCAGGGGGGCAGAATGAGGTATTCTTTGATCATTGCAAAGCTGTAGAACAGAGACTACCTTAATAGAACTTTAGTGCTCTTTGCTCATCCTCAAGTTTCGTTGTGGTGGGACGTGCAGGTTATTGTCAAGGTCACTCTCGAACTTGAGGCCACTCCCAAGTCAAAGACGTCGTAGATAGTGAGACAAGGACTGGATATGAACGTGAGACGGGACTCTCTAAAGATGTAGAGAAGCGCGTGCCTTGTGATTCGAGATGAAGTGTAGCCATTCCGCTTCGAGAGGCCACCAAGTGGATGCATAGAATCTTAGGACAACGGATTGTCCTTTTCCAGGGTTCCTTGGGTCCCTATCTTGGTATCTGTTCACTAGAACAGCCCATGAAGCTTGGGTGATAGCAAAGAACTGCTGCTGTTCTGATTTCATTGTTCTTGTCCACACATGTTGCCTAGGCGTAATGAATCGTATTTCACTCTTTGCATTGTTGCTACAGAGATTTGCTGGGCGGCTGCGTGCCAGTTGCGCGCTCTAGTACGGGGTTTTTGTGGGAGATTCACCGAGCTCCTGAACAATAGGGCGTGTTCCTCTCCTTCAACTACTGCCACACAACCTCCCTGTTCCTCCTTTGCACACACTCAACACTCGTAAATCACGGATATAGAGAAAAGAACTTGTCCAAAGCTTCTTCACGACTCTAAACTCTAACCTTTCTTCGTCAAGATGCCTCACCCGCGTATCCACGGATTCGCCGCCCTCAAGAAGCGTGCTAACCAGCCTGAAAACCAAGATGTTCGACTGGAGACCGAACAGAAAGGCATCACCATGGTAGAGAGCATGACTCTTCGAGCCGTCAACAACGAGAAGACCTCCGGACTGCGCCTCATAAACAATTCTCTTGGTGGGGGGCGCCAGGAGAACGTCGTCGCCAAAGTCCCTGGGGTGGAGGGCACGTATGCAGCCGTGATCGACAACGCGGAAAGTCTTCTCGATGCATACAAGATGCTCCCACGAGGAAAGATTAGCGTGATCTTCGCTGTGCCTCCTAACGGGTCGGGGGCCAGTATGACCTCCACGGAAATCCCGTGGTCTGTCTTGAAGGCGGCAGAGGAGCAAGATGTCGTGGCAACAGAGAGCGCAATTGATGCAGTCGAAGCACCTGACGACGATGAAACTGTGGTGGGAGACGACGAGACCGTCGTCGGAGAGGATGACCGCCCCAAGAAGGAAGATGTCAAAGAGAATAACGAGACGACACCGGAGCCAACTACCACCATCACGCCTGCGACCGACCCGGAAGTTCTGTATCCTGACCTGGCTGGTTTGTTGATCTAATACCAAGGTCATTGAAGCTTTGAACAAGAAACGGAACCGCTACTGACATTCTGCAGGCCATGGACGCGGAGTGTGCACGCAAGCGCACGCAGGTCACTCATCCGACACGAAGAGTAAAGTAAGCGCCCTCACCTCCAGCTGCTACCTTACACTTGATACTGACTGCTGAGTTTAAGGACCGCGAAATAAGAGTGTCTAGCAGGATGAACCGAACCGATTGCTTGCGTAGCTGCTAGTGTACCCTTACTGCATCATAAGGTAGAGAGGAGTTAGAAGCGAATACACCTTCCCCTTTACCGCACAAACCATAACATGTACGCCATCGTCGAGTCCAACTTTCCCTTTATGATGCCCATTGCTGTCACTTCCCTCTCGAGGTAAGAGTAAGTCTGTGACCCGAGTACATTAGAAACAGCGTCCATCTCCTCCTCCACGAAAACATCAACCAAACATCCATCATTCTCTTCTTGGCCCATCATTTCATCAACAAGCTTACGCATCTCATCACAAACCACCCATTCATTATCATCACATTCGTTATCATCATAGAAATATCCTCACAATCATGCTCTTCGAACCAATTTTCTGCTGCCTCGGCTGCCTCTGCCTCCGAAGACGCCGTGCAGGGTCAACCGTGAGCAACAGGCTAATCGAGGAGCAGCCCATCAACGAGGACCTGGAGGGTGGCGAGCCTCCGCGAGTGATTGAGTTGCCAGACGATGATGCTGTTGAGTCAGATGTTCGGCAAGACAGCCCCCAGCAAGACGGCGGGATGAGTTCATTCCCTCCATTGGAGGAAGGCTCAGATGATACCCCCCAGCAAAACAACCCTGAGCAAGGCATCGAACCAGGGTCACACAGCACCGCGACAATTGAATTCCCTCCATACAACGATCCAATGGAAGAAAACGAGGACGTCAGCACCCACACTCCTTCAGATGGTACCTCCCAACAAGACAGCGAAACAGGGTCACACAGCACCGCGAGGACTGAATCCTCTACACACAGCGATCCAACGGAAGAAAACCAGAAAGTCGGCGATTCTTCAGATGGTGTTCCGCAAATTAACGATACTGAGACCGTTGGGGACCAGAATAGTACGGATTCACAATGCCACCACGAATCTCGGCCACTATTTTCACCGGAAGCAATAGCTGTGCTAGAGGCCGCGGGAGAAATGCTTGTGCGAAAAGAATTACTACCTAAATACCTTGACGATCAGAGCAAGGACAATAATGCGAATGCGGTCCCATAGTCCAACAATACTCATACCAATAGGGTCCTTTCGGTCACCCAGACCAAATCGCATGAGGGAGGCTGGCTGTGTCTTGGGCAGAGCGGGCAAGGTATGGTTCGGATTCGTTTGACCTTGTTTGTAATGGTTATCGCTACGAGCACGTCTTTGTGTTACGTTTCATTATCGTGTCTTCGTTTGAGGGTTGATCATGTCCGTGGCTTGTTATGCGGGAGGAGAGTTGAGCGAATCGATCACAATAGCGAGTCTATTAGCAATACTATCACAAGAGTCAATTCAGAGCATCACCAAGGTCTTAGTCATGATTGGTGAATGACCAGAAATAGCGTCAGCGATCAAGATTGGTCTTGAGGGGTCATGTTTTGGCGTACATGATCATGAGAAGCCCCTGGATACTCCCAAGCTTTGCTCATTCTGCTCAAGAGACTCTAAGTAGATGGTGCTCTCAGATGCTGCATATCCCTCGCCATCCATATTCAGGCCCGCCACTTCATAAATCAGTATCAGCCTTGCGAACAGAGCACTCCCCATTAATCTGATGACAATTATCGCAGAGTCCCTCACACTAATAAACACCAAACTCGATAGGATAAGCGTTCCAAAGAGGGCTTGGAGGCAATCGCCTACGTACAGCGCTGAAGCGAGAGTGAGGAACCAGCCCGTATGTCGTCTGCTAGCTTTGATGTGAAGCTTTGACTGCCATGCTGTTGGTGTGAGTTCAGACCACAGCCTTCCTCTCTCTTCCCACGCGCTTTTCGTCTCGGTGGTCATTTTTAATCGTGCGGCGGCGTACCCAAACAGATGGATTGCTAGTGCGGCAGCAGTCCAGATGGCGGGGAGGAAGTCTTCGGCTGGGGCGAATGTGCATACTGCTTGAAGGCAGAGTTGGTATGTGAGGTATGCATTGTTTGCGACGGATGCAACGGCGATGATGTACTCCACCAACGAAACAATCCCCTTCGCTCCAACAAACCGCGGTACAGAAAAGGTAGTGGAAGACTCGGCGCCCATGTTGGTGATAAAGTCATCGTAATCCGACGCCGAGAGCGGCTTCACCCCAGAGCTACACATCGCCAACAACGCCGCCAGTCCCGGTCTTCGATACGCCAATATCGCCGTGTCAAGATACGAAGCACTCAAGAGTTGAAGGACTGATGGTGCGAGACCAAGAATGACAGCAGCAGAAGCTAGCTCTGCTTTTCTGAACTCGGGCATGGTGTTGAGGATGCAGTCTATGACACGGTAGCCAGGACGAAGGGCGGGGCCGGATATGTTGAGGTATGCTTGTATTTCGGCGGAGCAGTTGTATTTGAGTTGGTCTTTTAGTAGGGGCTCCCATGCTGGGAAGAAGTCGCGGAATTGTTTATTTGAGCGTTGGAGGGCTGTTGTTGGCGGGATGAAAGGGAGGATGGCGGCGATGAATTGCATGAAGCTCAGGCTGCCCCGCCTTGTTGGAGTAGCGGCCATCTTGGAGGTCGAGATGACAGCTTGATCACAGCTGAGAGTGTCGTATTGTGGGAATAAGAGGGCTTCCCAGAACGGGGGAAACCGCGCCTTATGTCTGTTCCATGCTGCAGACCCCAATCCTTCAGCTTCAGCTTCAGCCTCAAATCCTCTTCGTTTCACAGGATCGATCGTAAGCCCAATGGTTTCATTACTCCCGCTCAACCATAAACAGGCTCCTCTGGGAGCAAGAAAGCATCACACCTTGATGTAGGGCATTAAATAAAAGGTAGTAAAGGGTATCCTAAACTTGTACCAAGTTGCCTAGGTCTTTTTGTCATTTAGGATCGAGGTCATAAGTTTTCTTTCCCTGTAGAGAATCTTTTCAGCCGCCAGCCTTGTTCATGCTCTACAGTTATGATAGGCGGCCTCAATCTGACCGATGTGATTGTCATACATATCACATGCAGGATATGAGACATGGGGTGGAAACGGAGTTGTTTTTGGGAATGCTGAAGGACGATCATTTGTGCTGACATGAGAGTATTTGAACCGTGCATTGGGGACAAGGGCCTCTATGATCCTGCCTTAATCCTGAATCACAGAACGACCAACATAATGAGCTTATAAAGCTTTGGGATTACTTACTTTCGTTATTAAGGACGAACATCTCAAGCCTTGCCTGGCTGGCCATCTGCAAATATGGTGATGCAAGCTTCGATGGGACATGTCAGCAATCGACGGGACATGTCAGCAATCGACTAAACCGCTCATGAATATCAACTGATTACTAAACAAACATATTTCTCAGATGACGATCTATCTGTGTTTGACTGGACGGACGGCATCTGATCCGGTGAGGGTCACCATGTTCATTGGTCATTATAAATCTGTGGCTGCCAATACGAAAAATAAGCACTATTCGGACAGTTTGATCGACTAAAACAACGTCCAGGAGACCAAAGCCTAGACGATAGAGTTTCAGCTAGGATGTTCGGCTTTAAGGGCTCTGTTTCTTACCTGTGAGATGTCCATGTCAAGTCATGAATGAGTCAACAAGATCCAGACCCCTTCAACTACAAAGCCACTCCACGCCAGATAGCACCATGCCTCGAAATATTCTCATCACCGGTGCGGCGGGCTACATGTTCGTCTTCCCAAGTATCTCTCGCCAGTAACTAATAGGCCCAAAGATGAGGTTCCATCGTCGCAGATCTTTTATCCAAGCACCCTGAGATCACCAAGAACCAAGTCTTTGCTGCAGTCAGAACAGACGAGCAGGCCAAAGCTCTTTCTATCCATGGAATCAACGTTCTGAAACTCGATTTATCAGATGAACAGGCTGTTGTCAACGAAATATCCTCTCACAAAAGTAACAAACTGCTACAGAATAAAAAGACGTGTACTGATAGCCGCCTCTACTAGTCAGTGTCATTGTACACGCTGCGAACTCCATCGATCCGGGGCTAACTCTCCATTTGATAAACAGTCTGGAAAAACAAAAGGAGGCAACTGGGAAGCCAACATACTTCGTCCATGTAGGTTCTTCAGCTGGTTTAAGTATGGCTTCTCACATCACTAGACCTCAGGGCTGAGTGCATTCTACGCAAACTCAGGCTGGCCACGCACCATCAACACAGATACAGATGCGGTATTCGAGACGGAAAAGGAGTTTGCAGACTCGTATCCAGTCCGAAAGGTGAGTCAGCCTGTACGGCCTACGTATAAGAGGCTGACATTTCAAGACGGATGTGACGGTCATAGAACATGCACAAGACCAAGGCGTTATACCATTCATTGTTGTACCTTCTATCGTCTGTGAGCAAATCCATACCCTTTTCCTTGATTGATACTAATTATTGAACAAGATGGAAGAGGAACTGGCCCGTGGAATCAACTCTCCGTCGTGATACCAGGCCTGATAAAAGCGAGCCTCAAACCTGGAAAAGTATACAAATTCGATGAGAATATTGTAAGCTCTCTGATACACATGTTTCTGCGAAGGCTGACAAATTGTAGTCGTTACAAGCTGTTCACATCAGTGACCTGACTGCCTTGTACTGTCGAATCATACATGCCGCTCTTAATAGGGAAGAAATACCCAGTGGAAAAGAGGGATATTACTTTGCAGTCGCTCACAACTTGGACATGTGGGAATTTCAAGACCACCTCGCCGCAGCTATGAAAGCTCGGGGCCTTGTTGACAAACGATAAGCCCGATGTGTACCCCAGTGATGAATTCACTGCGGAAGCATTCGATGTACCAGTTGAGTTTCTGAGTATTCTTTATAAATCCGGGTAAGCTACTCCTTTATATGTCGAGGGAGGTTCTGACGTACGTCGTAGGGGCCATTTCACGGCGACGCGTCCACAGAGTATTGGTGGAAACCTAAATGGGATAGAGAGCGGTTTCTGAAGAATGTAGATGCTGAGATTGTGGATGTTGTTGAGTTAGGCAAGGCAAAGAGTAGTCTGGTTGAATCTCTGTTTGCTGCTGTTGGGAGGGCACGCTGATATTACCCAGCCCTGAAAACGTATTGCTACCCTGCACAACTTTATGCAAGCATGCTCTTAAATCTCAGATAACTGGATGACTCCAGCAAAGTCTAGAAGCACAGTTGCTATCTCCCACTTCTCAGAAAAGCGTAGGATATCATAGGGTGTATGTGTGCTTCTAAGCTTTCCCTGTATAGTTGATGTGGTATAACACTCATCTTTGTTGCCTCACGGGTTTAAAGGTTGCATAGCGAAGAATAGTGATGTTATTATAGAGTGGAGTAAACCCCATGCCCAGCCGCTAATCTCATAATTTGCTCTCACTTCAAGTCCCATATCAGAACACTAGAGTTCGCCAGTAAATCCCATCTCCCCAGCCTCTCTCATTACTCAGTACATTAACAAGTTCGTCTCTAACACTCTCCATGCGTCTGCTTCAGCTATAATCAGACCCCTTAATATCCCGCCGTAACATGCGGTTCGAGCTCTTTCTGCGTCCACTCCCAAAGCTGATCACGAAGCTTACTGTTCTTGCTCAACGACGAACCCTTCCCCTGTACACCGACAGGAAAGGAAAAAACACCTGACTTCACATCAGGACTAGTTGCCGTCCACAGATGATTCAGAGTCCCTTCCTCGATACTCACAGTAACGAATTTCATAGCAACTTTGAATAACGCGGCCATCAAAAAAATTATAGTCTCTAACAACGGGACCGCAAAGGTTCGTTGCAATGACTCCCGGATGGATACTCACAACTTTGAGGTCCGGGTTGTGATTTGCTAGTGCCTGGGCGTAATGCACAGCTGCAAGCTTCGACTGGCCGTAACGAGTCCATGTTGAGAACTTGGACAAAGTAGTTTTCAGTTCATCCAAGAGATAGGAGTTCTTAGGTGCCATGTTTTCAAGTTCAGAGCTGAGGAAGATAACTCTTGCGTCGGTAGATATGGTGGCGGTTGCTTTGAGGGTTGGAAGGAGAAGGGTTGTGAAGAGCGCGGGACCGAGATGATTTGTCCCGAACTGGATTTCATAAGTTATCCATTCTCCGTCAGACCTTCTGGTACTGCCATGATCCCAGCGTTGTTGATCAAGATGTCCAATCTGTCAGACATGGATCTGAATGAAGCTGCAGCTGCCTTGATGCTCGCAAAAGAGCCTAGGTCAAGTTGAAAGAAGGTAATGGGTCCTGCATTGGGATGCTTCTCGCGGAGTGTTTTGATAGCTTCGTTTGCTTTTTCTTCTGACCTGGCTGCGAGGTAGATGTGCTTGGGCTTGTGCTTTGATAACTGATAGATGACTTCAAAGCCTAGCCCGGTATTGCCTCCTGTGACTAGTATCACTTTTCCTGAGAGGTCAGGGATGTCTTTGTCTGGGCTGAAAGAGACGCCTTTTGTCATTGTTGAGATCCGTAGCTCACGTTTGTTAAAGCAGTATTGCATAAAGTATCATACGGCACTGTCGCTAAGGGAACGCCACTTATTTATTCACTGACTTCACTGGCATTTATACTAATCAACCTTGAGAGAATATCACTTGGTTGTAGAAACATATGTAGTTTGAGTTTCAACGTGTGGGCCCTGAAGTGACAGCTAGTTCCATTTCTATTCCCTAATCGAAACCAACGCTAGAGCTGCTTCGAGCTAGCCATCCGGACTCCTCACATACGGACAACCACAAGCGCGAACTCCTCTACACGACGGCTTCGTTAATGCACCGGCACCGATATCAGCCCACGCGTCTATTCTACTGGAGTTGCAAGTGCCGGTCGCGTTTAAGCTAAAGCCTCGCACATCGGAAAAGATGGAAAAGTGCGAGGTAGACCGACAAACTATGATTTCGCGCTTATATACGAATATCATACGCCATCATCACGGCCTTACAAGCTATTCTTGAAAGTCCGTTGCTTATAAATTGAGAATTCTAATTCCTTCCTTAGAAGAAATGTCGATGCAGCGTGTGTGCTGCAGGTATAAAGAACCATTCTCACGTCTCTTCTCTCAGACTTCCCCTTACAGTACCATCAAACATCAACAATCAGCACTTACCAAGCTACCTACCATCAAGAAATCGTACACCAAGAACATATCTTTCGCCAACCCAAGACCCTTTAGCATTTCAAGATCTCACCAGCATCAGAGCGCAATGTCTCAGAACCGTGGAGCCGTCAACCCTGCAGCCCGGGCACCCCTCGAGGTCAGGCCACTCGACACGCCAACCCCGGGACCTGGCGATATCCTCGTCAAAAACGAGCTCATCGCCATCAACCCAGTCGAGGTCAGCATCTCCAAGAACGACCTGTTCAAACCCAAGTACCCCTGCGTGATCGGTACTTCTTTTAGCGGTGAAGTCGTCGCTGTTGGCGAGGGTGTCTCTGACTTCAAAGTCGGAGACAAAGTCGCTGCGTATGCCAGCCCAACCGATGGCGACAAGTATGCCGCCTACCAGGCCTACGCGTTGGCCAAGGTTGACACAACCATTCTCGTCCCAGAGGGTGTTGATCTGGCTGTCCCTGTGAGCATGAACGGGAACCTGACCACCGTCGTCGGCATGATCAGCGCTACAGCCGGTGTGCCCAAGCCAGACATTGAGAACGACGTATCCTCTACTGGCAAGAAGATCCTCATCTATGGAGGAACTTCTAACTTGGGTAGCCTTGCTGTACAGTATGTTCGCCGGGCAGGCTACAGCGTAGTCACCACCACCTCGCCCAAACACAAAGCCTTTGTTGAAACCCTCGGCGCCGATAAGGTCATCGATCACAGCCAGGATCGTGACACCCTCGTTAAGGCCTTCATCGCCGAGGGACCATACGATATCGTCGTCGATACCATCTCCTACCCCAACACTGTCAGCATACTTGCCGATGTCCTGGCCCCCCAGGGCGGTGGTACAGTCTATGCTACCATGCCCGCCTTTGGCCCTGAGACACTTCCCGAAGGTGTCGTCCGCCACTTTACTTCATGGCCATTTGTGCTTTACCAGGATGGCAATGAGCATTTCACCAGGTGGGCTTTTCACGAGTTCTTTGCTAAGGGCATTGCAAGTGGTAAGCTCGTGCCGACGCAGATTGAAAGGGTTAGTGGTGGGTTCGAGGCGATCAACTCTGCTTTGGATATCCTGGGAAAGGGTGTTAGCAACTCCAAGGTTGTTGTTGAGCTTGAGAAGTGAGAAGAGGTGGACTATTGGAAGATTCTGGTAGACTAGATATACAAAGTAGTAACAGACTATATACGGAATAGACTAGTGTTGCAGATAAAGATTCATTAACCCTAAAGTAAGACAAATAATTGTAGTAAAACTTTATATCCTTGATGTGAAACAAACTACAGCTATGGTTTTGCGTACCAATAATCTTCTTGTATTCTGGGCTGGGCAGAGGATCACCTGATTTCCGCTTCTCCGGCTAACTTTTTGATGGGATGAATTTATGGTCGATGACAGAGGGCAGATGATTGGTTGGGGTAGGAATACTACGACAAACGTTAGATCAATCCAGCTCTGAGCTCACCAAGAAACTCTCTGCTGTCACGATGCACGAATGGTCTGTAGCTAGGTGACAATAGTATCAGGACGATATAGAAAAAGATTTTATCTCGATTTACATGGAGCATATCTTTTGGTTCAAGGCTGGTGGCGTGGTTGATTGAACAGACCTTGAACACATCGTTTCATAAAACATAGGCTTGAAAAGTATGGAGAGAAGCTAGCTTCTAGCTCGACTAAGCTTAGATTGATAGGGCTATAATTAAACACAAGCTTCAACAAATAGAGAAAGAAAGCAAATGAAAGAACAAGGCGACAATGGTAGTCCAAGATCTCGATATGACCCCGAGACCCCATATCACGCTACCACTTGCATCCGTGTATAGATCAAAAAGGAAATTCTCACCTTCTACGCTCCGAGCCTCCGAAACTTACTTAATTCAATACGGCCGCGACCCAATCGTTCTTACCCATGTATACGAGATGGTTATTCTAGAATACGCGGCTTCACTTCTATTGCTGGGGAAATTCAGTCTTGAGTCGTGATTGGTGGAACTTTTGACTAGGTCAGTCGGTAGTCGGCACTTATGGGGCTATAACTTACCAGATATGATCATATCGTCCGAATAGGAGTTTCAGGTCAAACACGCAGCCAATCTCCGAAGCACGGATACTTTCTGAAGAAACATTATAAAGAAGCCGCCAAGGCTGTGTCTACTCTTCCATTCCCCTCTTGTCCATTCAGTTCAGCCCTACAGTTTCAGTTTCAGTTTCAGTTCCAGTTCTACATTACATTCCTTTCACCATGAAGTTCTTTACTGCTTTCTCTGCCCTTTTGGCTGTGGCTTCAGCTACACCTACTACTTCCCCTTCAAAGACCCTTGATAAACGAGCTACCACCTGGTGTGATGCTTTCGGGTCCCTCCAAACTGAAGGATACACCGTTTACCACAACAACTGGGGCAGCGGCCAGGCCACGTCCGGTTCTCAGTGCACCACCTTCAACTCCGTCAAGAACAAGTCCTTCTCGTGGTCCACCAAATGGAGCTGGGCCGGTGGAAACATCCACGTCAAGAGCTACTCCAACGTTGCGCTCGAGAACATCAACAAGAAAGTCTCGGCTATCAAGTCCATCCCTACAAAGTGGACATGGCGCTACACCGGAACCAACATGGTTTCCGATGTCTCCTACGATCTTTGGCTTGCTCCCTCTGTTGGCGCTGCTAACAAGTACGAGATCATGATCTGGGTTGGAACCTACGGCGGTGCTGGACCTATCTCTGATTCTGGCTCTACTCCCCTTGCGACGCTGACCATCAACGGTGCGCAGTGGAAGCTCTTCCGTGGACCTAATGGCGATACGACCGTTTACTCTTTCGTTGCTACCCAGAACCAGGGTAACTTTGAGGGCGATCTTCTTCCTTTCCTTACATACCTCACCAAGAGCCAGGGTGTTCCCAGCAGCTATGTTGCTACTAGCTTCCAGGCCGGTACTGAGCCTTTCGTCGGTAAGTTTTGTTCCATGTGTGTGTTTGTTCTTAAGCTAACGTGTCAGGTTCCAACTGTGTCTTCGCTACCTCTGCTTACAGTCTCTCTGTCAACTAAACTGTCTGCAGTGCAGATTAGCTGGCTAGTCTCTTCTCGTACTATAAATATTCTCATTGTATATAACCTGAAATCTGCATGTCACAATTCAATACCTCTGAAAGAAGGTTCTCTTATTGGTCTGTCTACACTGCTATAAAATCTCAAAACACTCACAATCATCGGATCTCAATGGTCTCAATTTTGACTGTTCCTGAAGCCAGCAATTCTGAGACCTCGCCACTCATCAGACCTATCATAAAGCAACATCCAACAAACAGGTAGTGGTCATCCTTAGGACGGAGTACTGCCAGCTCGTTAGAGCCTGCAAGGACACAGACCACATCTCCAAGCTTCACATCATCTGGCATCGTGCCGATATATCCATCATTGGTTGTGAATAACTTGCAGCCTTGGAAAGCTTGCCCCTTCTGACTCCAGTTGTATATCACCGTGTTTACGTAGGGCTTTTGACACCATTGCCTCTTCAATTTGTCGGTGTCAGCTATGTTGCCACTCTGAAACAGCCAGAACCCTACGCACAAGCCTGCGTCAAAAGCACAGTTCTCATATGACTCTTTTCGGAGCAAAGTGCAGCACAGGACCTCCAAGACACTTTTTTCACTGTTGGGATACCTATCCTGTGGTGACTGTGTAAGTGACATGATGCATTCTTGCAGTCCGTCTGTCAGGAGATGGCCTGACACAGGCTTGGGGTAAACAGTCTTGACAACCTGGACCTTGATGCCTTTGATCCATAGGCTATCGTTGATGACAGCTATGGGAAGCCCTTTTGACAGCTCAGGGACTGTTCTGAATGCTGAACGGCGCTCTGTAGGGTCCCTCACAATCGGCCTTCGTCTTTCGGCCTTTGGAAATACCGGTGCCCAGCTTGGTAGATGGTCAACGCGCTTGAGGCCAGCAGCATGAGTGTTCAGGAAGCTCAGGAAGTCAAAGATTTGGCGATCGTTCTTTCTTTTCCTCCCTTCGGCAGCTTTCCAGGCAGGCAAAATCCACGCCATGAACTCCAGTGTTACCTCTCGAATGCTCTTGGTATAGTCAGGGATGATAGGCGATTTTGTCACACCCAAGAGACCATAGATAAAATCTAACTTATTGGAGGTCTCGAGATCTGGAGAGAAGTATAAGTCCAGATGCCACAAACTAAAGTCTGGGTCTTTATCGCCATCGATGGTTCCTCGAAGCAAAAAGCGCATCTTTGAGAGATGCCAGAACTTGATTAAAACGGCCTGCAACATATTGATATTGTGCTGCTGCTTCGACCCTCGGTTATTTTCTTTCAAGAGTCGCGTGTAGGCCATTAGTCCTTTCAATGCCACGAGACATGACGAATGCTCTATGCAGCGAGTTCGGGACACATAGTACAGCCTCCTTGCAAGAATGACCTCCTGATAGATCCACACTCTGTTCCAAAAGTTGAGTTTGAAGAATTTATATACGGCCCCATAAGGTCCATCATGGAGGTTGTTGAGGTTTCGTAAATCAACACCAGTAGAGACCCTTGGACAGAGCCATGATAACTCGCTAAGATTCCAGGGGGGTAGGCTGTCGCAAATCTTGGACAGTTCCATTTCTGTAAGACCTGTAAACTTAGACGGTAATGCGCTATCCCAACTCTCACTGTCTACGTTTTCTTCGGCGATTCGAACTATCTTTTCGAAAGCCTTAAACGCCTTTTGGACAACCTTGCCATTTGCAGTAATCCAGGTCAGAACCATTGCTGCCGAAGAGTAGATGTCCGACATCATGCCAACTTGGTGTAGTCTTTCGGTAAGATCCTTTTGGTTGATACAGAGTGCATCGACCCACAAGCGGAACTTGGAAGTGTCGAGTTCAGGGTCTGACTTTCGTTCAATATCAATCCAGTGTTGCTTCAGATGTCGAAGTGCAGTAGCAAGATTGACGGTTACTTGTCGAGTAACACCATCAACGACGATATCTTCCGTGATGTTGGGGTCGCCCCAGACGTAAGAGATGCAGGTGTAGTAAAGATCAGGTGTAAGGAGGACGGTGTGGAGTTTGCAATTGACCTTGCCGTCAGGAGTGATGGGAAGGATCTCAAGAAGACGTATCTCTCGTTTATCCTTGTTGAGGGGTTGATAGAGGGGTGGAGAGGAGCACCATCCTGTGCTGGAGGACGCCATCTGAACAAGACTGATCAACAACTGGTGAGGTTGACTTGCAGTTGGTGGAGTTGACGAAGGATGATCAATTCTGCCTCGCGAGAGAGACTTTATATAGTTATTATGAGTTACACACAAGGCTGCAACTTCTCATTTTGTCTTCTGCTTGACAGAAAGATTACGCTACGTTATTGCAAAGGGGTGAAAGCACAAATCTATCAAACACGGCGAAATCAGGAGAAATGATGAGGAAGCAGGGAAGCAAGATCTAAATTGAAAGTTTCATATTGCGTCTGCCTAATCATTTCCCTTCTTGAGTAATAATATAATCCATGCTTCAGATGTTGTTGAATGATATGAATGCTCCATCTCAAACAAGCTTGTTAGTTAGCGACGATGAATGATTTCTGTTGCTATTAACGATTCCATCAATGTTTTATGCTTACCAGACAATCTCCCTTAATTGATTACGCCTGCAATCTCAAGCCCGTAAAAGGCACTAATGAATTGCTGTCTAGGCAGAAGTTTGGCTTTGTTTTCAAGCTTGACATGAAATTTTTATAAAGAAATCAAACGTCACAAAGTGAAATCAGATGAAATTCCAAAGACAATCGAGTTGTAATTTACCAGTCACAGGAAACAGCAAAGGGAAACAACACATTAAATGAGAGGAGCGATTGAGAGGAATCTGTTGATGGATTTTTCTACGGATTATCTCGGTATGATGATGGTTATTCTTGATTGTTTCTCAAGCTTGTGGCATGTTCTATGATTCCAGATTATCTATACAATCAAATCAAATACTGTTTGGTTTTCTTTACTGTGTTTTGGTGATAGCGCACTGCCAAACATGACAAACTTCTCACCCATTCACCTCGATACAGCAATATAGCATAGCACATGAAAGATTGCCCACAACTGAAAACCACGACAGCCTCATTGTGTACTAAGAGACAGATTTCTTCGGCCAAGCGGCTTGTGGCAAACTAGACAGAATTTTCTGCCTCACAATCATACCAAGCCAATAGCTCTTCGGCCAAGACGCGTTGCATAAACTCTCTAGCTACCGATCGGCGAACATGATTGATGGATCAGATAAGATTAGACAATGACCCGACGCTAAGACAGTATTGGAATGCTCTATCTGAGACTGTGTCTAGTGGGTTGAGTGGAAAAAATTCAATGCTATGCCAAGAAACGAATTACCCAACGTCCAAGCTTAGTCCAACCGAGGAACCGACATCGTCCGACATCGCAGGAACAACAAATCGAAGGATCAGAGCTGTAACTGTAGTGGATGTGGATGTGATGCAGCTGAGATCGACGACCAAGTGGGTTGATGCACATCCAATGCCTATGGCAATCACAATGAGACGTCTAGGACGTTATCAGATCGATCCCACGTTGACTGACACATTCACATCTCTTCACCCCACGAACGTCTTGGCCGACATATCCTCGGCCGGCGATTTACCTCATCCCGCGGCCCTTTGACACAAAGTCGCGTGTCTAATATCCGATGCCCCGTCCCTTCTAGACCAAGCACAGTGGATATTCCATCAAAATTTTTATATCCGCCAAGAAATTTCGGGACCCGACGATGTGGAATGACACCCCCAAAGAGGAACTCATCCGTCCAAGAATACGCACAGCTTCTTCTAACTGGACCCGAATTACCAGCCAAGAGACAGTGGCATGTTATCAATCAGTCCCTTAACCCAAAGCAGTTTTATATCCGCGTCATCCGGGCAGAGTTTTCTAACCAGAGGATTTGATTTTGTGGAACGTTGCATTTTGGCGGACAGCGCCGAGGGGGAAAGACGATCCCTTCCTTTTGGGGGATTGCATCGGCGAAACCGCAGGCAGCTGTTTAGAAAACATCCTTGTTGTGGGATTTGACAGAAGGGAAATAAGTCTGTGGATCAGTGGGTTGCGTTGCCCTCGGCTGACTTGACTAACGCCAAGGGTGAAGAGAGTCGCTAATCATTGTGAGTCTGCGTTTATACGAAAGTTTATTGTGTTGAAGATCAGAAACTCTTTTCACGGGGTGTACTCCACGATAGCTTCGAGTATAGTAACGCTGGGAGTGAGATAGAACGTATAATTGAACGCCAGTAGACATCATCCGCCACCTTCATCATCGCCAAAACTCCCCGTCGCTGCACGCTACGGACAACACTAATATAGCGCATCAGCGGGCTCCCAAACTCGCATGACGCCCCCTCCACTCCCTCCCTATCAGATCCTCCGAAAAGTTCTTCACTCGGCACGTTAAAGTTATCTAATCAATCTCGAGTGGATCTACCCTCCCTCCCATCCTATAAACCCTCCATCCTCCCCCTCAACTCCTCCACCATGCTCTCTCTCCCCCCTCTGTTTGCATGAACTCCTCCTCTTGAGGTTCAGAATCACTCATCATGTCCTCCCCAGAGAAATCCCCCGACAACGACCACGGCCATGAAGTCCCCCCTTCAGCCGCCGACGCCGTCCGGGACATCACATCCCCCGGTGTCCAGCGCATCAAGGCCATGTCCGAAGTGATCACCCTCGCCGACCGCATCTTCATCTTCTTCGGCGTCTTCCTCATCGCCTACGCCTACGGTCTCGACGGCACCGTGCGCTACGCCTACCAGCCCTCTGCGCTCAACAGCTTCCAGGAGCACTCGCTTCAATCCTCTGTTAATACCCTCCGCGCCGTCATCGCAGCAGCTGCGCAGCCCACTGCGGGAAAGATCGCGGATGTGTTTGGTCGTGTGGAACTTATTTGCATCTCTGTGTTCTTTTATACCATTGGAACGGTCATTGAGGCCGCGGCGCAGAATCTGGATACGTACTCTGCTGGTGCGGTTATCTACCAGATTGGATATACTATGATTCTTTTACTTGTGGAAGTCATCATTGGAGACATCACGTCTGTGCGATCGCGTTTGTTCTTCAGTTACATCCCCGCTCTGCCGTTCATCATCAACACCTGGGTCAGCGGCGACGTCACAGAAGCTGTCCTTGGAGCCACAACTTGGCGATGGGGAATCGGCATGTGGTGCATCATCTACCCCGTCTGCGCCCTCCCTCTCATCATCAGCCTTCTCGTTGTTGGCCACCGCGCCAAGAAGGCGGGTCACCTCGTCGGCTACCGCTCTTCATTCCAGCAGCTCGGCTTCAACAAACTGACCATCGAGCTCTTTTGGCTTCTCGACATCATCGGCGTAATCCTCCTCATCGCCGTCTTCGCCCTGCTCCTCGTGCCCCTCACCATCGCAGGAGGTTTCGAGAGCAAGTGGTCAGACCCTCAGGTCGTAGCGCCCCTCGTCATCGGCTTCGTCTGCATTCCCGTCTTCGTCGTCTGGGAACTCCGCGCTCCTCACCCCCTGGTTCCCTTCCACCACATGAAGGACCGCTCCGTCTGGGCCCCCATGGGGATCGCATGCATGCTCAACTTTGCCTGGACAATGCAGGGTGATTATCTCTACACCGTTCTGCAGGTCTCCTTCAACTTCAGCATCAAGGCCGCTACACGGGTCCAATCCCTCTACTCTTTCGCGAGTGTCATCACCGGCACAATTCTCGGTCTTATCGTGTACAAGGTGCGCCGCTTCAAGGTCTTCATCGTATCAGGAACATGTCTCTTCCTCGTCGCATTCGGTCTTCTCATCCGATACCGCGGCGACCCCAGCTCCGACAACAAATCCGGCGTCATTGGCGCGCAGATCCTCCTCGGTATTGCGGGTGGTATGTTCCCCTACCCCGCGCAAGCTTCGCTCCAAGCCTACGTTACCCACGAACGACTCGCCGTCATGACGGGTCTGTACCTCGCGCTGTACCAGGTCGGCTCGGCCTTTGGAAATGCCGTCTCCGGTGCCATCTGGACTCAGGTTCTCCCTGTGCGACTTGCCCAGAGCTTCTCCAGCTTCGGAAACGAGACACTTGCAGTGTATGCTTATTCTCAACCTCTGTCTGCCATTCTGGACTTCCCAGTTGGTTCTGACGAGCGCGATGCCATGATTGATGCGTACAAGCATGTCCAGCGCCTGCTCACCATCACTGGTATCTGTCTTTGTGTTCCTCTCATTGCTTTCTCGCTGTGCTTGCGTAATCCCAAGCTCACTGATCAGCAGAACTTGGTTGAGGATGAGAAGCCTGGTGCGGCTGCCGAGCGCTCCTCTGCATCTGCTTAGAAAAGTCAAAAGTATTTAAAAGTTGTATGTAATGTCGTAATATGGTAATTGATCTAGCCTAGGGCTACTTGTTTAATTCATGGTTCTCTGAGCATGTTGTGAATTTTCAATAGTTGAAGTTTATTTAATGCTCCGTGAGGTCAATTGTCTTCGCCCAATTGAGGTCTTTGAGCATAATTGCATGAATTGTCAATTGTTATGCACACAAGACCCGCCCAAAGACTACGTCAATCTCGAGGTCCAGTCATCATCAGCTCTTTGTGCAAGCCAGGTTCTTCTAATCTCCAGATCGAAGCGGCCGAAGCTGCATTCGACATCCACAGAAACAGACTGAAGCCCAATTAACCACCTCGCAATTCATGCACTGCTATATTCAATTCATTCGACAGTGCTAACAATGCCTGTCATAATCCTCAGCTGAAAAAGAGCCAAGAACCGATAAATTCTGTGATATTCAACACGTACCTGCATCTCCTCATCAATCACCAATCACCCCCCCCCCCAAGAATGTCGTCCCGCTGCAAGACACCTCATTTCATCACACTGCAAGGAACAAGCTTATCCTCTCATTAGCTTTGTCCAACCCACGAAAACATCCTGTCTACACCCATTCATCTCACCTACCATCCTTCCGGTTCATCTTTATCGCCTCATTATCGTCTACATGTCATCAAGATATCCCGTCCCTTCACCCTACTCCTCTTAGCCAATCCATTCTCTCCCCCAGCGGTCGCATCAATGGGCCTCTCGTATTCTCTGCATACCCAAAAAAAACCTCCGAAGATACCGTTTCTCGCACAGCATGTGGTTCGTAAGCCATTGTGACACGTGTTGATAAGGTTCTCATCTAAGAGTACGAGATTTCCCACTGTCACCACCCAAACTGTAGTTATTTAAAGGCTGTTTCAAGGATGATCCTTTCTCTGTGGCTTACGATATTGACGGGCCTCAAAAATATCTGGGAATATATTGGTCTCGTCAGCCGATCTTAATCTGTGAGGGGTGGTGTTTCATGCTGTGCTACACCAAAAGTCAAAATGGGTTGCGCCTCAACTTTGCTGCAATGAGACTTGGAGAAGTCATTTTGTTGAACATCATGCAGGTAAGATGGGTATATAAGATATGTCTTTGTCGTCCAATGTTGGATCATCAAGTGGCCAGAAGGCATCCGTCCGTTACAGTCATTCGTTTGAACCCCCATCATGAAGTCATTCGCTCTCCTCATCGCCTTTCTGGCAAGTTTCGCCATTGCATCCCCATGGCCCTCGCTCTTCAGTCGTGCTCTTGGCAAACGACAGGCTGGACGATGTGGTACTGGTTTCGGGACAGTCTGCGGACCAAATGAATGCTGTTCCAGCGCTGGGTAAGTCCCTCAACCTTTGTGTTTGATCTGTACTGACCTTCAAAGATGGTGCGGAAATGGTTATCTTTACTGTTCTGCTCCCTCGTGTCAGATTGAGTATGGTCCTGGCTGCGATGCAAACGTTCGTCCAAGTGGCCCTGATACAACGAATGTGGCTCGTCCGAAAGTTGGAAGTATTCCGTATGGTCAGGCTATTTATCGGTGTAACCGCAACGGAGACATTGCGTTGACGTATGATGATGGGCCGTATACTTACACCGAAGACCTTCTCGATCTCCTCCAGGTACGTCGCCCAGTCACTTCTTCTTATCTCTCTAACAATTGCAGCGATACAATGCTAAAGCGACATTCTACATCACCGGTCGCAACCTTGGAAAGGGCGCTATCAATGACCCCGATACACCATGGCCAAGTCTCATTCGACGCATGGTTCGCGACGGCCATCAGATTGCCAGTCACACATGGTCCCATCAACGTCTCACAACGTTGAGCCGCTCGAAATTCTGGAATCAGATGATTTACAACGAGATTGCCTTTGCTGATATTCTCGGTTACTTCCCAACCTACATGCGTCCTCCGTACTCTGCCAGTAATACCACTACAGATGCATGGTTGAATGAGCTCGGGTATCATATCACGTACTTCAACCTGGATACAGAAGGATATCTACACGACAGTCCAAATATGATCAGCACATCCAAGCAAATCTGGGACAACACCGTCGAGGGTAAAAGTCCAGCTACCAACAAATGGCTTCACATCGAGCACGACCCCGTGTATCAGAGCGTCTACAACCTAACAGAATACATGCTCCTCTCCATCCGACGCAACAATTTCACCGCCGTAACAGTAGGCCAATGTCTCCAAGACGCCCCCTCAAACTGGTACCGCACCGTATCCTCTTCTCCATCCCCGACATCAACATCCTCATCATCACCCACGTTCCCCGCCACGACAAACGGCCGCTGCGGCTCACGACACGGCGGCGCAACGTGTCGCGGGGAGCCCAACGGCGAGACGTGCTGTTCGCAGAACGGATGGTGCGGCGGGACGAGCGATCACTGCGGGAGAGGATGTCAGCCTGTGTTTGGGACGTGTAGTGACACGCCTGAGCCTGCGGCGCCGGGGCGATGTGGAGCTGCGCATGGGGGCGCGAGGTGTACTGAGAGTGGATGGGGATGTTGTTCGAGGGCGGGATGGTGTGGGAGTACGAGTGATCATTGTGGGACGGGCTGTCAGAGTGATTTCGGGACGTGCAATTAGTGTGTCTACTGTATAATTAATTGGATATATATACAGACTTGTGTTGGAGAGTGGAGGAGGATGTAATATTATTCCCGAGTAAACCCCCGATCTCCATTTATCTACGGTACTGACAGCAAATGCTCGGAGTGAATTATGCCGATTCTTGGCTAATGTTTAGAGCGTCGTGATTAATTAGTCGTGTTAATTTCAGGGGCAAGCCATGTAAGCCACGAGCGCGATGCTTAAGTTAGCGGCATCTTGTTGACATTCACCATCTGACAAGGCATACTTTCCCTATCCTCTACTGCCTATGTATATCCCTTACCTATTCCAGCTCATCCCTCAGTCTCATTAACCCAATACAGCATCTCTGCACTCAATACGAATACTACATTCCGCGGCAATCGACGCTCAGACTCAAAAACACTCTCCGCACCAAAACGCACGCCAAGCCTTCAGCCCCAGGCGTGAGTAGATGTGATTGGTCAATGTATACGCTATCCTTTCAGCTCAGGCTCTTGATTGAACGCCAAAAAGCATCGCGTTACCCCTGAGTGTGCTGTAGGGCTGATTCGTGACTGGATCACGGCACATGGGACCATAACTAATATCACATTGGCGAGACATGGTGAATCCTTCGGGCGGTGGGTGGAAATGAAGTGAGACTAGTTGTGGTGCTAGGGAGGGCGTTTAATGGGGAATATAAACTATTAAAGGATGGCTTGATCCTCTTGTTCTGCTCTCCTCCTTCGTCATCATCACTCTCTCTATCTTCAGTCTATCTTCAGTCTATCTTTAGTCTATCTCAAAATGCAGTCCGTCATCCTCACATCCCTCCTCGCCACCGCCGTGAGCGCCAACTTCATGGCCCACCCCCTCATGAAGCGCGATCTCCTCGCTCCCCGCGCAACCGCCCCAGCCGTCGGCGGCATCACAGAAGAGTGCCAAACCGCCATCCTCGACGTCTACAAGACCCTCCCCACGCCCCCTCCCGCCATCGTCTCCGACATCACTGAAAACCCCCAGACGGACCCCTGCTCCTTCAGCACCCCCGCCTCCCTCTCCAAGGACTACGCCAGCTACAGCTCCCAGATCCTCAGCTGGTACTCCAAGAACGAGGACGAGATCAAGTCTGCGCTGTCCGAGTGCCCTGAGCTGAGCCAGTACGCCACCGCCGTTCCTGTCTGCGCTACTGCTGCCCTCGGTGAAAAGGGTGGTGCTGAGAGTGCTACTACCACTGCTGAGAAGCCGGAAAAGACTTCTGCCTCTGGGGACAAGACTACTGCTGCTGCGGGTGAGGAGACTTCTGCTCAGAGCGAGGCTTCTACTCCTACCTCTTCTGCTGCTGCTGTTGAGACCAACGGTGCCGCTCGTGAGGGTGGTTTCATCTACGCTGCTGCTGCTGCTGTTGCTGGTGTTGTCGTCGCTGCTCTGTAAGAGGTCTTTGACGAGGAGAAGTTGTTGGCTATCTATGAGATTTAAGTTTATCTGCTTTTAATACAAGACATGTCTCTTTCACAGATCTTGTCTAAACGTAATCGTGAGCATCGTCAAACATGCGTGAATGTAGTCATGACATCTCATCTAGTGTTTGCCCATCATCCAACCGTTTGAGTGTAACGCCACATCCATAGTTTGGCCTCACTGTAGTCCAAGCTTATTCTCATGGTTTGCATTCTTTGTTTGACTACATTGACTCACAGGCACTCAATTTGTGTTCAACTTTGTGTACTAACAAACAAAAAGCAAAGCCTTTGCCTTCTATCTCGATCACTGGCACCAACGCCAAGGCACTATGAGCTCCTACCAAACGTCTCAATAAAGAAAATGGCAGCCTGTTACATATAACAGCTCCTTTATTTATACTTCAAAGGCCGTTTGGTCTGTCCTTCTCATCATTCATAAATACCATATCGTCACCCTCTCTGCTCAACCAGAACATCTAAACTTACAACTTTAACGATGGACGCAAAACTCACCATCGCCGACAAATTGGGCCGCGGGCTCACCAACGGCATCTACTTTGTAACTCGCAAGTGGAAGACGATCATGCTAGGCTATATCTTCATCATCTCAATCGGCAGCGCTCTTCTCTACTTCCACGATGGTCTGTCCCCTCTGCCCCTCTACCTCTCCCATCGTCACTCACTAACACCATCAGAACCCCAACCCTCCCTCCAAACCCGAAGCTGGGGCGGTTTCGACGAACGTCCCCTCACAGAGAAATGCTACCGCCAAGAACGCACCGCCATGATCCTCTCCCTCCTTCTTGGAACCCTCGGCGTCGACCAGTTCTACGCCCATCACTGGCCTCTCGCCGTGTTCAAACTCCTCACCCTCGGCGGAGCGGGTACATGGGCGTTAATTGATATGATTCTTTGGATTGTGGGCGGTGTGTACGGGACGCCTGGATGTCCTGGGGGTAGTTCCAAGGGATGGCAGTACTAGGGTGGGAGTGAGCAGTCAGTTATCGTTCTTTGTTAGTGGATTATTTTAGCGACATTGCTGAGATTGGTGTGTTTTGTGATGGGTAGTAAATAAAAAGATCGCAAGATCATTTATTCTTTAGAGTTGGCACGTGTCGGTTGACTTACACGAAGTGACTGAAGCTGCAAGCATACGGCACGGTATCCTTTTTGAGATCGCTCAGCCTCATCTTCAGCTTGAACGACGTACATACAGACCAGACCCTGAAATCAAGATTGATCACTGCGCTGAACACAATTTCGGTCTCCAGTTGAGGCTTGCCTTCAATAAATCCACTTCACAAATGCACCCGAACCCCCGTCCATCAAGGCATTAATGTCACCAGTACAACACAAGACTCCCTCACACATCACAGATAACTGTCATGTTTCTTTTCATTATACTCATTGATGCCATAGCAACCCTGACGAAATGACCAATCCTTTTCTACACCTGCCATCTAAGCATAAAAAGCACATATCACACTCATTCCTCGTCCTCCTCACTCTCCTCCTCCTCAGCTTCCGGCTCGCTCTCAGCCTTCTGTCCATTAACGGGCTCCGCCACTTTCGCGCCGCCCTCCTTCTCAAGCTTGAGCCACTCATCCCACTCAGGGAAGAGCTCGTCGTCTTCACCAGGCACGCCGATCAGCTTGGCTACCCTGGCCTTCTTGTTCTTCTCCAAGTTCCCCTTCCACTCATGTACTACTGGCACAGTCAGGCTGGGCTGGTAGGTCTGAGAGAAGAGGACGGCTTCGGCGAGACGGCCTGTCTCGGAGAGGATCTTTGTGCAGGCTTCGATGTTGCCGAGGAGCCATTGGCATGAGAAGGCGACGTTGTGAGAGCCGGCTTCTTGTGCTTGGGCGGCGAGAGCAGCAAGGCCATCGCGGTCGCCTGTTGATGAGTGGAGAAGCAGGAGAGATCCAAGATCCTTGGCGTGGGTGAAGCACTCAGCAGCAAGGGTGACATCCCAAGCTGACAGAGCAGCGTCGCCAACAGTCTTCCACTTGTGATCGGCATCAGCCTCACGAGCAAGGTCCAAAGCGATAGCAAGCTCATTCAATGCCAAGGCAAGCTCAAACTTGTGCTCAGGATCTGTCGCAACCTCCAAGGCTAGCTCCTTATGGCCTTGACCTTCCAGGAAGCGCGCAATCTTGTTGAGTTGGTCGTGGGGAATGGTTGGTAGCAGCTCGGCGGCTGTCTCCATATCCTCTCGGAGGACAAGAGTCTGGTACTCCAGAACGGGAAGAGACAGACCGAAGGAAGTGACGTTGACATCCTTGTCGGCGAGGTAAATTCGAGAATCGCGCTGGATGTAGCCCAGGATGTACTGGGCCTTGTCGAAGTGGGAGACAGTGTAGGTCTGGTCGCCGACAAGGTAGTTGAGTCGGTTGGTGCTGTTGGTGTAGATGAAGCAGTCGCCGATCCATTCACCAGTTCGGACACTATATCGTTAGCATGGCAGATTAAAGGGGAACGGGGGACATACGACTCGCTAATGTCAGTGATGACCTCAAAAGCGGCCTCGACACCATCCTCCTCGACATCTCCAGACTGGACGGCCTCAACATAGTTCTCGCGAGAGAATCGCAGAACGTAAAAGGTATCCTCACATGCAATCGCCACCAACTCGCCGCTATCAGACCAGTAAACTTGCTTGGGCTCAACCTCAATTCTTCGAACGAGACCACCAGTAGCCCAGTCAAAGAAGGAGACACCACCTTGTCCTGTGACACCCAGAAGAACGCCACCATGGAGTCTCTCGGCCTGGAAACCAACATCGAGACCGCCGCTCTTCTCGACAAAGTTCTTGAAGATCTTGACGCTCATGGCGGACTCTCGGATAGCAAAGTCATTGCTGTTGTCCTTAGAGGCCCAGGCAAAGTCGAGTGCTGAACCGAAGGCCTTGTTTCGCCAGGCGAGGGCAGTGTAGATGATGTATTCGCCATCACCGCAGACAGCGACGAATCGACCATTGGGGGAGTGGATAAGCGTTTGGGGGTAGACTTCGCAGGTACCAAGATCCTTGGTGGGGAGGGAGATTGGCTCGTTGTCCTTAATAGAGGCATCTATCTTGTTAGCTTAATCCAGTACTGGTACAGTGCATGTGTACATACCTCCTCCCTTGATAATTGAAGAGACAACCTCGTTTTGTCGGGCCCAGATGAGCTTGCCAGACGCATCCATGGAAACAGCAGGCTCCTCGCGACCAAGCTTGACAACAACAGCACCATCGTCGAAACCAACAGCAACACCCTGCTTGCCCTTTTGATACGAGACACACCAAGCTCGCTCTAGACTGTAGTTGAGGGATTGCTCGAATCGGTAGGTGTTGGCGTGCCATATTCTTATCGTACCGTCCTCGGAACCGGAGATGATGACGGGCAATTCGGGGTGATAGCAGGCGAACGAAACGTTGTTGGTGTGACCTTCGAGGGTGGCGATCAGGGACTTTGTAGTGTAATCCCAAATCTTGACAGTTCGGTCGTCAGATGTGGTGAGGAGGTAGGGCTTGTCGGAGTGAGGGTAATAGTCGACGTGGTTGACACCCTTGGTCTCATGTGCCTCGAGGGTGAAGTTGGGAGTAGAAGATCCAAGACTCCAGATCTTGACAGTTCGATCAAGACAGGCCGAAGCAAAGGTGTTTGTATCCTTGGGGTTGATGGCCAAACCCATGACATAGTGACCATGGCCCTCAAAGACCTGCACACATTTCCATCCCTTCTCCCAATCCCAAAGCTTGATGGTCATGTCATCGGAGGCAGTCAAGACGAACGGCTGTGTGGGGTGAACGGCGATAGCTCGAATGTAGTCGGGGTGCGCCTCGAAGGAGGTGATCTTCTCGGAGGTGTTGTAATTGTAGACTCGTAGTTGGAAATCATCGGAACCGCAGACAATCCAGTTTTTCCTGGCGATGAATCGACCGGCGCGAACGGGGACATCGGTGAGCTCAAAGGTCTTGACGATCTGTTGGGTTTCGTGGGACCAGATGTAGACGTGGCCTATACTGTCAGCATTGGATCTCGAGCTGCCGAGGTCGACATACCGCTGTAGAGGGTTGTGAGGATCCATGGCTCGTGAGGATGAAAATCAATGCCCTTGACTCGCTCACTACGAGCGTAGAGCTGGCGCTGTATTGCGAAACGTGTCAGCTCAGATCGCACAAGTAAAGCTGCCGCCGCAGATATCGAGTGCGCTCGCCATGAATAGCACCACGCCGATCACCGGGCGCACTCAACATATCCCCAGACTGACCTTGACGTCTAACTTCATCTTGTCGTGTGTCGTCGCTGTCGCGTTGCGCAGTTGAAGTTGCAAGCTGTCCAGCAAGGGCGGTGATATCGAAGTAGTGGGGTCGAAGTTAAGAATCCCTGAAGGAGTCTACCATGCGGGATGACAGTGGTCGCAAGTGCACAGAGGTTGGGGAGAGTACAAAAAAACAGAGGGTTAATCGCTAATCATCAATCGTGATGTTTGAATTGACAAAGCTTGATCTTGTGTATATTGATTTGGAGCTCCCCGAAATGTGTCCTGCGGCTCTTGACAGGCTGGCCATGGATGTGGTGTTGGCCTGAAGTGTCAGGCTCCACCTCCTTATCCCTTCTTATCAGGGATGCTCCAGAAAAGGGGGTTGTAGGGTAGGTAGTTGAGAAAGTTACAGAACTGAATGAGATATCATGGTCCCGCGGTTTGGTGCTTGAAAGATGAATTGAGTTGATTCTAAATGTTTACTTTTTTTTATTGTTTTTTTCTCTGATTGATTTCCATGGTTTCGTTGTTCGAGTTGGTTGAAGTTAGTTGTTGTGACGTTTTTCTATCGTTTGCAGCAAACTGGCATATCATGGGCCACAATCACTAACCATTTGGAAATGAGATTCACAACCTTGGACAGTTTACCCATATTTAGAATTGACCCAAATATCCTGATTCCGTTTATAGACCCTCCACAACTCAGCCAAGATATCTCGACACGCGTCGTCTTCGTACATGATGAAAAGTGTGGCTGTACAACAAGTTGGTTGCTTCACCTCAATATCAACACTATAGACACTGTATGTACACCGATTGCTCCTCTCTGGCTATGGGCTGCTTGGGCATTAATGGCATTGTTTATGAACTAGTCTCGCTTCTCCTTCTCATTTACCCCTTATGTTATGGATTGGACCTCGCTCTAGGCTCATTCTCTAGCTGATCAACAAAGCTAGAGCCCGTGGCTGTGGCTTAAAATCGACCTTACGGGATTACTCCAGACCAGCTCCACAGTCTGAGCTCCTGTGTCGCAGACTGAGACACTGTGTTTCCAGCACCAGAACAGCACTACCATCCACCCTAGCCCACAGTGCGGGCTGCCTACGGGAAGATCCACCTTTTCTGCTGTCGCCCAATGGGCCTTGGATGTCATGGCAATCCCCTTCTCCCATCCATCCCCCGTATCCACCTCATTCATATCTCGGCTGGTCTTGTCTCGGGCTCTTGTGCTTCGCCTCCTCCTCATATTCGACCTCTGCCATCTTTTGTTCAATTTGAACCTCCTTTCCCTTCCAACCAGTCGGCGCACAGTCTCCTTTTCGTCTCGTCGACTTGCGATCCTTCATACAACCAAACAGCGGCCGGTTTACGCTTCCACGCATGCGGGGTTACAAATCATCCATTTGTTGAACACTCTGCCACGCCATCAGCCTCCTGCTTGATCAGGAGTTTGTCAGCGCGCAGTGAACACTCGCTGCTTCACCCTTCGATCCTGCAACACTTGTTGGCTGTCGATCCTTGACCCCGACCACCAAATACCTCGTTGACATTAACAACAATGTCTTGGAAGCTCACCAAGAGTAGGTCTACATGTCCGATATCTGTCGCATCACTAACGTCCATCAGAGTTAAAGGAAACCCATCTGGGTCAATCCTTGAGCCCCTTCTCTCGATCTCCCTCTACTTCAACCATCACCGAAAAGGAAAAGGATGGCCAGGCCAGCGGCGCTGTTA